GTCTCGCTGTGTTGCTCAGGCTGGAATGCAGTGGCTCGATCTTGGCTCACTGCAACCTCCACCTCCCAGTTTCAAGCAATTCTCCTGCCTCAGCCTCCCATGTAGCTGGGACTACAGGCACCTGCCACCATACCCGGCTAGCTAATTTTTGTATTTTGAGTAGAGACGGATTTCACCATGTTGGCCAGGCTGGTCTTGAACTTCTGGCCTCATGATCTGCCCACCAGGGCCTCCCAAAGTGCTAGGATTACAGGTGTAAGCCACCGCACCCGGCCTCTCTGCACTCTGCCCACCGCATACCCTCCACAATCTGCTTCTGAGAAGATTTCTCATTTATCTTGCAAGTCTGACTCCAAATTATGTAAGATAATTTACTTCGTGTCAAGTGAAAAAGGAGTTTTCCTGAGTGATTTGGGGGGAAAAAGATGGACGTTGTTCCCCTTTTATTCTCAAAGTGTCGGCAGCAAATTATCCAAAAGCGTTAGCGCCGTTCTTGCCTCTACAGAGTCTAGGTTGTTACTAAAATAATATTTCTCCTATTTTTTATTCTGAAAAGTCTGAAATGATCCTAATAGCACTGCCACCCTTATCTCATATCAAATAATTTTCATTTCTATTCTGCTTTTTATTTTGGACACAGAGTCTCACTATGTCGCCCAGGTTGGAGTGCTAGCGGTATGATCATGGCTCACTGGAGACTTGACCTCCCAGGCTCAAGTGATCCTCCCACTTCTGTCTCCTGAGTATCTGAGACTACAGGCACATGCCACCACACCTAATTTTTAAATTTTTGATTCCTTGTAGAGACACAGCCTCACTGTGTTGCCTAAGCTGGTCTCAAACTCCTGGGATCAAGTGATCCTCCCGCCTCAGCCTCCCAAAGTGCTGGGATTACAGGCGTGAGCCACCGCACCCGGCCTCTATTCTACCTTTTATCTAACAAATATATGTGGTCACAACCTACTCCAAAGGTCACTTAAGTGTTGGGAGACCTAATGTTTCCCCTCCTTCCAGCAGGATGGAAGAAGGGCACCTACCGGTAATGTTTCTCTTTGACTATGGCATAAATGAGGAACAACGCCAGAGACCCATCCAGGGCGACAGTCAGAATTTCCACAGACACAATGGTTGGATCGAAATAAAGCCATCTCGCATCAGCTCTGCCATATTCCTTCCCTAAAGACAAAATCCATGTTGTTACTCAAATGGCAACCATTTTTATGACAGTCCATGGAAATGACCTTTTTTCCTTTAAGCTGGAGATAAGATGAATAATTGCCACTCTCTCTGGATTCTTCATGATGCCTTAGTGGAAGGCAGGAGAAACCCTGGGACCAAAATGCGTTTACTACCTGATACAAGCACTAAGACCAGCAGCAGGTTACATGCGTCCAATCATTCAGTTTCCAACGTGCCTTCACATATGTACCCTCCTCAGCCCCACCCTCTTCAACGTAAGTAGTAGAATTTTAACAGAATTCAATATGGTCAGATTTTGTAAAGACAATCTCCAGTAATGATCTTGATAAATACATTGTAATTCCTTCCTTCAAAATTTCAATATAAATTCTGTAAGTATAATGGAGATGTAGGAAATTTGTTATGAAGGACATGTTTATGAAAAGCACATTTATTGGCCGGGTGCGGTGGCTCATGCCTGTAATCCCAGCACTTTGGGAGGCCAAGGTGGGCGGATCACTTGAGGTCAGGAGTTTGAGGCCAGCCCGGCCAACATGGTGAAACCCTGTCTCTACTAAAAATACAAACATTAGCTGGGTATGGTGGTGCATGCCTGTAATCCCAGCTACTTGGGAGGCTGAGGCAAGAGAATCACTTGAACCCAGAAGGCGGAGGTTGCAGTGAGCTGAGATTGTGCCAGTGCACTCCAGTGGGCAACAGAGCGAGACTCCATCACAACACAACAACAACAACACATTTGTTAATAACAGAAGAGAAACTGGGTGCTGAAGGGACACAGGCAGGGAGGGGAGGAGAGAGCCCGACTGCAGAATGAATCGCAGTAGGCAGAGGAGTGTCTCCACCCACAGGGACAGGGGACTCACAATGGCCCTCACACAGTCTCAGCTGTGTTGCTTGGGGAGCCAGGGTACTATCAGAGATCCTTCCAGAGCCATTATCAGAATGGTTTCTTCTAGGGAGAACCATGATTCAGAAAGTGTTTTTAGGGCTGGAATGATGGCCAGGCACTGTGGAGGCCATTAAAAATCATTTAACTACTTTTTTAATTTGTAAAAGTAATACACGCTTATCCTAAGATCTCAAATAATTACGGTGAAAAAAAATGGAAGTCCTCACCTCTTCTCCCCTTTAATACTGTCTTGGATTACTCGGAAAAGGTGTGATGGCCGCAGAGGAGCCCCACGACGCGCTAGTGAGCAGCACAGGGCTCATGTCTCATCAAAGCCAGAGGAAGGATCCCTTCAGGCCAGGGACAAAGGTTTCTAACGAAAGGCTGTCCTGAGAGAAAGGACAGTAAGAGGATTATTTAATGGGATAACACACAAGGCACGTGCTGAGGGGGTGTTCTGTGAGAGCCCACTGAGAGTCATCAGCCTGTCCTTAGCCGACAGCAGTCTCCTGTGCCTTTCAGTAACTGTACTAACTGGAAAACAGTGTCATAGTGGAAGGAAAGGTTTCTCCCCTAAATTTGAATACACATACAATAGGTGAAATGTACCAGTTAGTGCAACTAAACCTAATAAAATATCACTTAAGTAAAATGTTAGTTCTTTAGGAACAAAAAGATTAATGGGTGTTAAGATGTTGACCAAGTTTCTTTTGAGACAGAATCTTACTGTTGCCCAGCCTGGAGTGCAATGGAACAATCTCAGCTCACTGCAACCTCTGCCTCCCAGATTCAAGCGATTCTCCAGCTTCAGCCTCCTGAGCAGCTGGGACTACAGGTACCTGCCACCACACCCAGCTAATATTGATTGATTGATTGAGACGGAGTTTTGCTTTATTGCCCAGGATGGAGTGCAATGGCCAGACCTTGGCTTGATGCAATCTCTGCCTCCCTGGTTCAAGCGATTCTCCTACCTCAGCCTCCTAAGTAGCTGGAATTACAGGTATGTGCCACCATGCCCAACTAATTTTGTATTTTTAGTAGAGATGGGGTTTCACCATGTTGGTCAGGCTGGCCTCAAACTCCTGACCTCAGGTGATCTGCCTGCCTTAGCCTCCCAAAGTGCTGGGATTACAGGTTGGAACCGCTGCGCCTGGCATAATTTTTGTATTTTTAGTAGAAATGGGGTTTCACCATGTTGGCTAGGCTGGTCTTGAACTCCTGACCTCAAGTGATCCATCCACCTCAGCCTCCCAAAAAGCTGGGATTACAGGCGTGAGCCACCATGCCCAGACTTCAACAAGTCTTTTTTTTTTTTAATTTTTTAATTTTTATTTTTTTAGCATTTGGAAGGCAATCTTCCAAATTTTTTAGCAATCTCAGGCTCTGAGAATGCAGCCGCAAGTAGGACCACATCAACCCTTAGTGCCCCACATTCTAGTGAGGCTGAAAATCAGACAGTAAGCGGTGGTTAGAGAATATGAAGACAGGGAAGAAGTGACACTGAAGCCAGACTAGGAACTTCAGGGAAGACTTCCCAGAGGAGGTGTTTTGATCACTGCCTCTCTGTCCTGTTGGTGAGGGATGGATTCCCGCCTGAGGGTTATGGTGATGGCTGAACCTACAACACCCAACACTGGGCAAATGAGAAGGATGGAGATTTATTAGTCATATATACTCATGGCCTAGGGAAGGAGAACATCTTGCCATGCAGGGCCAAATGGGACCTGGGAACAGTGATGGGGCACCAGCCATGGAGGCAAGCCTTGCAGTAACAAGAGGAGGGGCTGGATTGAGTCCTGGTTCCCGAGAGAATGATTGGCTTGTTTGGCTAATTCCACGGGCCGACTGCAGGAACTGGGGCCTGCCACTGAGAGACAGGCAGGCACTGTGCCTGCTCCCTTTGATTGGGAGGGCTGTCTGGTTAGGGAACCTTATATGTGGAAGCAGAGTGGGGAGAGAGACTTGCAGCTTGGCCATTTGAGGCCCCCTGGATCGTACCAGATATAAAACCAAACATAATACTGAATCCTGGCTGGGCTCGGTGTCTCATGCCTGTAATCCCAGCATTTTGAAAGGCTGAGGCGGGTGGATCACTTGAGGTCAGGAGTTCAAGACTAGCTTGGCCAACATGGTGAAACCCTGTCTCTATTAAAAATACAAAAATTAGCCGGTACACTGGTGCACACCTGTAGTTCCAGCTACTTGGGAGGCTGAGGCAGGAGAATCGCTTGAACCCGGGATGCGAAAGTTGTGGTGAGCCAAGATCATGCCACTGTACTCCAGCTTGGGAGACAGAGCAAGACTCTGTTCTAAAA